TGAAAATTTCGCAAGTTTTCTTGTTTTAAACTAAATTTTGTGAATTTCTACTTTCCAATTTATAATTTCTCTAACGTGTATTAACTGATAAGTTCTAAATCCAAGGAATATAGTTAAAATTTTGTAAATTGTGAAACTTATACAACTAATTATATTCAGTCTGCACAAGTTTCAGCATTACAACAACATTATTACCATACATAATCCTGAAATAACTGAAATACTTCTTGCTTTATAATTTTTTCGGTTATTTTCTTTCCACACTGAACTGATTACATATTCTCGTTTCGAGTCGCGCTCCGCCGCTCATTTCGCCGTCAGCGTTATGACTGACTGACGTATTGGCGCGAAATTCGAATTTAATATCGCCGCTGCCAAAGATATTTACTTACGGATTTTCCATCGTGAAAATAAGCAGAGTAGAGAGAAAGATCATTTTTCGTCTTGATGTATCGGAAATTATGCGCACCAGAGATTCTTAAATATATACAAAAAATGTTGCTCAAAATATATTTGAGACGTTTTAAGTCTATGCTTGTATACTTTATAGTGAAGACGGTGTAGTATATAGATATGTATTTTGACGGTGCTGTTTATTTACTTTATCATATCTGGCGCACATCACCTGCACACGAGCGTTCAGCCTCGAAGAAGAGAAGAGATAGCAACATAAAAATCCTTGAATAATATACTTTCCGCAGCAGCGAAAAAGGACCTAAAAAGTGTACGTATAATACACATATAAAGACGGGTTTAAAGGGGCAATTTATTGGAGAAGCATATTCATAAAAAAAAAACTGAATAAATAAACAAATATATAAGTAAATATACGCGATGTAGTTATGTATTTCTTCTGTAAATGATTTACGCAAATATTTGCTATTTTGCAAGGACGATAATTTAGGATTATCCGAGGACGTGGCGAAACGATAACAGATGGAAATCATTGCAGTTTTCTTGTTTTCCATTTATATTTTTCGGGTTTCGAATGAGAGAGGCAAATGCAGCGCGAAATAACAAAAAAAAAGGATGTAGCGAAAAGGATAATGCAAAAACAGCGACGACAACGCGCATAAATCATATTAATAACTAATGAATATAAACGTTGCTGCGTCGTCGTTTCGTTTCACTTTTTTTTGGGGGGAGGAAAAATTAAATCCTTTTCCCTGTGAATTATTATTATTTTTTTTGCTGTTGTTGTATTCTTCGGCTTTTCTGTTTATAGGCATGTCGCACTAATATCCAAATAAATTAAGGTTGACCCAACGATCATCCATCAAGGAACCGTCAGCAAAAGTCTTATCTTATCGGTCCTGTTTATATTCCAACACTTTTTTTTTTCTTTACTCGTATTCCTAACGCTTTTTTTTTTTCTTCGGCGTTGAAGTAAACGCAAATTATGTACGCACACCTGGCCTTTTTATATGTTTTTTTTCGGGGAGGGATGAGGTTTCAACTCCCCCTGTAGACTTAGACTATGTAGAGAGAGTGGAAAAAAGGAGATGGAGCGAGGCCAGACCATTGATTTTTCATTTCGGAAATATGCTCAAACAGCTGGCATAATTATAGACCACAATTCCTATGGCTGAACCAACACATGAACCCTCATCCCCTTATATAATAATAATACCCTCACTATTTCACTCAACGCAAAACCCATGTTTTTTTCTTCTTCTATTATATTTATTTTTAACTTAATTTATTATTTCTTAAACTTTGTTAACTGATAAATTCAATACACAAAATCTAGTTTAAACATAAAAATAATAATAAAATATATTAAAACTAGGCGAAGAAAAACGTTGGATTTTCATTTTTTTCATTTAATAAAATTGAAGAAAATGTAATAAAACTTGTAAAATTTTCTCAATTTAGAAACTATTTCATAGTGTTTCGTACATACAACTATATATTTTATAAATTTGAAGCGAGAAAATTCTGAAAAAACTTTGGATTTAAGAAATTCCTTGGAATTATAAAAAAGTAAGAAAATCTAGTAAATCTTGTGAAAGTTTCTCAATTTTGAAAATATTCAGTAGTGTTTGGTATACTCATCTAAATATATTCTAAATTTGAAGCGACAAAATGGTGAAAAAAACATTGGATTTAAGAAAAAATGAAGAAAATGTAGTAAAAGTTTCTCAATTTACAAAATATTTCATAGTATTTCATGCATACAACTAAATATATTCAAAATTGGTAAATTTGAAGCGAGATAATGATGAAGAAACATTGGATTAAAAAAAATAAGAAAATCTAGTAAAACTTGTAAAAGTTTCTCAATTTAGAAAATATTTGGTAGTGTTTTGTATACTCAACTAAATATATTCTAAATTTTAAAAGTTGAAGCGAGAAAATGGTAAAAAATATTGGATTTAAGAGAAAATGAAGAAAATGTAATAAAACTTGTAAAAGTTTCTCAATTTAGAAAATATTTGGTAGTGTTTCGTATACACAACTAAATATATTTAAAATTGGAAAATTTAAAGCGAGAAAATGACTGAGAAAACGTGGTATTTAAGAAATGATTTCCATTTAAGAAAATTTGATGAAAACATAGTAAAACTTGTGAAAGTTTCGCAATATAAAAAATATTTAGTAGTGTTTTATACATACAACTATATATATATTCTAAATTGGAAAATATGAAGCGACAAAATGGTGAAAAAAGTTTGGATTTAAGAAAAAAATGAAGAAAATGTAATAAAACTTGTGAAAGTTTCTCAATTTAGAAAATATTTGGTATTGTTTCGTATATTTTCTAAATTTGTAAAGTTGAAGCGAGAAATTGATGGATTTAAGAAATTCTTCGGTTTTCTGATAAATAAAACAATGTTAAAAGCTCAACTTTGAATTGTAAAGAAATTCTTTTAGGAATCGAATAATGACAATGTAGGAATACAATTTGGTAGCAGGTAGATAATACTACATAAAAGACGTTTTCCCAGAAAAAAAAGTACCTTCAACACCTGCTCTTCGCACCGTAAAACTACCGAATTTTTCAGGTAACAAAAATTTCTTTCTCTCTTCACATTGAAAATCTTCCACTAAAAGTATACATAATGTGTAAATAATTGAATATATTTCCAGGTAGACCGAAAAAAAAAATATAATAAAGAATTTCGTTTAAAAATGATTTTTTCTTTCTTAATAACGAAATGGAAATAAAAACACGAAATAAATTAAAAATAATCAATTATAAATATTTCCTTTAATCTTTACGCGTTTCTGATTTGAGAGAGAAAACAAAAATAAATAACGCCGATTGGATGAAAAAAAAGAACAAAAGGAGACAAATGGCTTTGGGCATGGGCAACAATTAATCAGGGCCTTCTTTTCTCTTTCGGCAGATAACGTTTACTTCATTATCAATTTCGAAAATGGAAAGGCCGTAGGAGATATAAAAGGATTCGAAGATGAAGTGGATGAAAAAAAAAAAATAACGAAAGAGCGAGAACAGAAATATCTTAATTATTTCCAGCTTGTAATTAATAAGTCACTTAAGATAAACGTTGCTTTAATAACGGTTTTTTCTTTTAACTTATTTGAAGAGAAACGTTTCATATTCTGGACGAGAGAATTAATTAAAGATGTTTTCTCAATAATTCGAAAAGTAATTTTTTTGTATATATAAAAGTAAATTGAATTAATAGGCAGAGATTAACTGTCCTTTCAAGCGAACTTTCACCAATAAAACTAAATGGCATAGGCAACTAAAATTTTAGAAAGTCCACTAATTATACCGAAGAAGAAAAAAAAACAAGACAAGACAGCAAGCAGCAAGCAAAACTGAACGCTTGAAACGTTAATTAAAGGAAACAAAGCAGTTTGTGTGAGCGAAATGTTAAATGATACAATTTGCGATCAAAAAGTTATTAAATGGCGAGGCCGAAATGTGCGGAGCCGCGCCTAAAAAACCTCTCCACTCAATAAATGATTGGATTATTATCCTTTTCTGCTGCGTTCTTATCCTTCTTTACACCTTATGGTTGCGCAGAGGGTGAGTATTGCAACGGACTATAAAAGTTTGCGGCAAACCGGAGGAATCATCGGGCGTGAAATGTTAAAAAAGATGTTTTTTTTCTTCTTCGAACATCCGGCCGGAAAGTGTTCGTAAGGGGGAAGAAAACGCGTGTGAAAAAAAATGTATGTTAAGAATATAAATAGAAGCATTCAAAGAAGAAAACCGAAGGACTTCGAAGACGGTTAATTTTACAAATTTCAGATTGGAATTTCCAGAAAATTCATTTGAATTTATCATTTCGTTAAAATTCGCTTAATTTAATTTCGTAATTGCATGAGACTCGAGTAAAAGTATAAAGAAAGCGTACTAAAACGCATTTTTTTTATAAATTAAAGTAATAATTAATTTGAAATATAAAGTTAGATAATGAATTTAAAAGAGTGTAGAAGTAAATAGAAATGTACAGTTTCAGTAGTTAAAAGAACTACGCTAAATTGTGTAATAATTGTATTACATTTAAATGGAATTAAAGTTGGTAAGTTTAAATTTAGCGCGCTTTGTTAAACGTGCACAGAAACAATTGTGTACGAATTGTATTTCCACTAACATTCTCTGTTTTTTTTTGTGCAAAACAGGAAATTCATTAAAAAAATTAATTAAGAATACATTTAGATAAAATAAATATACACAGTTGATAATTATGTTTAAAAATTATAAACGAAAATTAAATTTTTACGCTTTTTTTATGTAGTGAAGAAAGCGCAATAATTAAATTTTATGTTATAACAATAACTTGTAAATAATTGTATTCAATTAGTTAATTACAGCAAATTGAAACAAAACAAATTTTTTTTTCAAAAAATAATTTGTGAAAAATTTAAATTTCTTTGGATTTTTTTTTTCCGATGAAATTTGTTAAGTCTAAATTAAGTTTTATTTATAACTAAGGGCGCATTTTAAATAAAACTAAAACTATTTTTTTTTGTAATTAATAACTAATTTTTTCAATAATTGTGAATATGTGGAAAACACTTACGTAATGCGAGGAGCGCGAAGGAAATCCTTGCTAATTCCGTCATCATTTTTGTTGGGCCGATCGAACACTTTCTCGTTTAATTTTTTTTTTTTTTTTTTGTGATCAAGTTTTGTATTTGTCGCTTTTTATCCGGAAATCACGAAATAATCCAAAACAGAAGAACGCAAACTAAAAAAAAAAGAAAGAACAACAAACACTGTCGAGGTGGAAGTTTCACTAATGAATTGTCATGGCATCTTTTCGTGCACTTTTATAAACGAAGCACCAAAACGTTCCTTAAGAACTTCAGTTGGAACAAAAGTTTTCGAACACTTTTGTAGTTTCTGTTGTATCAGAATAAGAAGCACTTTTCACTTAAGTTTAGTGTCATGTTGTTGCACTGGTTAATCCTTGTTCGGGGCGGGAGAGGGGTGAAAAAGTTGGTAAACTTTTAACCCCGTTTCGTTTATTTTTTTTTTTTTCGAAAGTTTCGTGTATAATGCGCGTATTATTCGAGGATTCGTGGACTGTGAGACGCACCTAACGACGTCGTGTTTCGGAATGAGAGCGTCCGCGCGATTGCGGTGCGTCCGAACGGTGGCGCGACGATCGCTCCAGGTTTTCAGTTCGAATACCTAGAAGAGGTGGTGCATACAGGGAGGTCACGTGCGGCAGAGAGAGATAGGCTTATGACCATCGGTGATCGGTGATGGCGTGTGGTGGGAGGTCGGGGCGCCAACAAACAATCAACAAGCGAAGCGAAGACGAAGAAGCCCTTCTTCTCTCCTCAACAAACGTATTTCTCTTTTCAACTTCTTCTACCAGGTAAAATGGGAAACAGGTATGCATACATGCATATACCTTTTACGCGTTAGATGCGCAGCAAATGCTTCGAAAGTATTTAATAACTCGGGGAAGCTTCGATCCGGGGACGTCGTCGATCCGAAAATATGAACGTTTTTCAATTAAACGTCGGTGGCGCAACGCGATCGCCGCCCCCGGACCCCTCACGATTATGCCGCAAGCGTTTGTTTGTTTCGTCTGCACGTGAAGCGCCCCGCGGATCAAAAAAAAACAAGTCCACAGGCTTTGCAACAATGATGATATTTTTTTCTTCAGTTGTTTCTATTGCTACTTGATTCGTGTCCTTTACAATAGCAAAATTTACATAAAGATTGATACAATTACATTCTGTCTTACATATTTATTACTTATTAATTAAAATTTCTTAATAAGTGAAAAAAGATTTGGAAAATTGGTTTAAATCAATTTATTCTTATATTAATTAAGCTTGAATTAAAATTGAATAAAATTAGTTCAAAAATTAATTATAAACATATAATATTCAATACTCAATGATTTTTATTAAGCGCCCTACGGATTAAAAATAAACAATGAAAAACAAGTCCTCAGGCTTTGCAACAATGATGATGTTTTTTTCTTCAGTTGTTTCTATTGCTACTTGATTCGTGTCCTTTACATAGAGCTTTATTCAATAGAAAAAATTACATAAAGAATTAATACAATTACATTCTGCCTTATATATTTATTACTCGTTAATTAAAATTTCTTAATAAGTGAAAAAAGATTTGGAAAATTGGTTTAAATCAATTTATTATTGTATTAATTAAGCTTGAATTAAAATTGAATAAAATTAGTTCAAAAGTTAATTTTAACCATATAATATTCAATACTCAATGATTTGTATTAAGCGCCCTACGGATTAAAAATAAACAATGCAAAACAAGTCCTCAGGCTTTGCAACAATAATTATGTTTTTTTTCTTCTTCAGTTGTGTCTATTGCTACTTGATTCGTGTCCTTTACGTAGAGCTTTATTCAATAGCAAAATTTACATTAAGATTGATACAATTACATTCTGCCTTATATATTTATTACTCATTAATTAAAATTTCTTAATAAGTGAAAAAAGATTTAGAAAATTGGTTTAAATCAATTTATTCTTATATTAATTAAGCTTGAATTAAAATTGAATAAAATTAGTTCAAAAGTTAATTTTAAACGTATAATATTCAATACTCAATGATTTTTATTAAGCGCCCTACGGATTAAAAATAAATAATGAAAAACAAGTCCTCATGCTTTGCAACAATGATTATGTTTTTTTTCTTCTTCAGTTGTGTCTATTGCTACTTGATTCGTATCCTTTACATAGAGCTTTATTCAATAGGAAAATTTACATAAAGATTGATACAATTACATTCTGCCTTATATATTTATTACTCATTAATTAAAATTTCTTAATAAGTAAAAAAAGATTTGGAAAATTCTTTTAAATCAATTTATTCTTATATTAATTAAGCTTGAATTAAAATTGAATAAAATTAGTTCAAAAGTTAATTTTAAACATATAATATTCAATACTCAATGATTTTTATTAAGCGCCCTACGGATTAAAAATAAACAATGAAAAACAAGTCCTCAGGCTTTGCAACAATGATGATGTTTTTTTCTTCAGTTGTTTCTATTGCTACTTGATTCGTGTCCTTTACATAGAGCTTTATTTAATAGAAAAATTTACATAAAGAATTAATACAATTACATTCTGTCTTACATATTTATTACTCGATAATTAAAATTTCTTAAAAAGTGAAAAAAGATTTGGAAAATTGGTTTAAATCAATTTATTCTTATATTAATTAAACTTGAATTAAAATTGAATAAAATTAGTTCAAAAGTTAATTTTAAACATATAATATTCAATACTCAATGATTTGTACTAAGCGCCGTACGGATTAAAAATAAACAATGAAAAACAAGTCCTCAGGCTTTGTAACAATGATTATGTTTTTTTTTCTTCAATTGTTTCTATTGCTACTTGATTCGTGTCCTTTACATAGAGCTTTATTCAATAGCAAAATTTACATAATGATTGATACAATTACATTCTGCCTTACATATTTATTACTCATTAATTAAAATTTCTTAATAATTGAAAAAAGATTTGGAAGATTTGGTTTAAATCAATTTATTCTTATATTAATTAAGCTTGAATTAAAATTGAATAAAATTAGTTCGAAAGTTAATTTTAAACATATAATATTCAATACTCAATGATTTGTATTAAGCGCCCTACGGATTAAAAATAAACAATGAAAAACAAGTCCTCAGGCTTTGCAACAATGATTATGTTTTTTACAGAGAGCTTTATTCAATAGCAGAAAAACCATAAAGAATTTCATTATTTATTACTCATTAATTGGAATTTATTCAATAATCCTTAATAAGTGAAAATAAATTTAAAAATATAATCTTATAAAGGATTTAGAAAATTGGTTTAAAATGGTATAAATTTAGTTCAAAATTTCATTTAAAACATAACATTTTCAATACTCATTAATTTTTATTACTACCCTTTCATTTATTTCTTGAAAATCAATGAAATAATCTATTAAATATGTTAAAGAATTGAATTAGTTCAAATTTTAATTAAAAATTAGTTCAAATCATTTTTTGAATTTATTTTCTAATATTGATGGAAATGAAATATATTCAATAATTTATAAATATTCCTGTTAAAAATGTATTAAATTTTGGAAAATTAGTTTTAATCTATAAAATATTATCTAAATAATAGTTGGAATTAAATTAATACAAAAAATAAGTTAAATTAGTCCTTGCAAAGATCATTAATATAGTAAATTAATATATATAATTAGGTTTAGGTTAATTAAATTAGTTAAAATGTTAATTTAAAACGTAAAATTAACAAATTAGTTCTAAAACAAATTGCTTAAAAACTAAATATAAACATGGAAAAAAACTATGCGATTTCGCACGTATATAGAAAGGAAACATATATATTTTGAATCAACTAACAATAATTGAAATATTTATCTAAATCTATGTATAATTATAATAATTACACTCAAATTAAATTAGAATTGAATCAATTAAATATTAAAATGTTTTTAACAAGAAAATAATACTATAGCAGATCTGTACTGATGAAAACCGCACTATGCGAGGTATAGTTGTAACATATTAGTTAGTCTCAAGTTGTAATAGAATTGCATTGATTCAAATGTTAACCACAATAACAATAGAAAATTCGCACTGTGCGAGGTATATCTGTAACATATTACTTGGTCTCAATTTGTAATAGAATTGAATCGGTTAACCACAATAACAATAAGAAATCCGCACTGTGCGAGGTATATCTATAACATATTACCTAAAATGTAATAGAATTGAATTGGTTCAAACGTTAACAACAATAGCAAATCCGCACTGATCAAAACTGTACTAAGCGAAGTATAGCTGCATAATCTCAGGTTGTAATAGAATTGAATTGATTCAAATGTTAACCAAAATAATAATAGTAAATTCGCACTGATTAAATCCGCACTGTGCGAGGTATATCTGTAATATATTGCTTATTCTGAAGTTGTAATATAATTTAATTTGTTCAAACCCCTTAAGTGGTTATGACGTATATAGTCGTCATGGTCTATTGTATTGCTTAGCGCTTATGACGAATATATTCGCAACATGCATATATCTAATACGTTACCACTAGGAAAGTTCATACACTGCATCAAACCGCTTAAGGGGTTAATAAAAACTGTAATATTTCAAAACCATTGTATTTAATTGAACTAAATAATTACTTACATTCTCAGAACGAAAAAAACAAACTTAAACTTAGTTTGAACATAAAGATATTTCTAGTAGAGAAGAAAAACCAAAATTAACAAATTAGATCTAAAACAAATTGCTTAAAAACTACATATAAACATGGAAAAAACTATGGGATCTCGCACGTATATAGAAATGAAACATATATATTTTGAATCAACTAACAATAATTGAAATATTTATCTAAATCTATGAATAATTATAATCAAATTAAATTAGAATTGAATTAATTAAACATTAAAATGTTTCTAATAAGAAACTAATACTATAGCAAATCTGTACTGATGAAAACCGTACTATGCGAGGTATAGCTGTAACATATTACTTACTCTCAAGATAGAATAGAATTGAATTGATTCAAATGTGAACCACAATAACAATAGCAAATCCGCACTGTGCGAGGAATATCTATAACATATTACTTAGTCTCAAGTTATAATAGAATTGAATTGATTCAAACCCCTTAAGTGGTTATGACGTATATATTCGTCATGGTCTATTGTATTGCTTATCACTTATGACGAATATATTCGCATCATGCATATGTGTAATACACTGCATCATACCGCTTAAGGGGTTAATAAAAACGGTAACATTTCAAAACTATTGTATTTAATGGAAGTAAATAATTACTTACATTCTCAGAACGAAAAAAAAAAAACTTAAACTTCTTAATTTGAACATAAAGATATTTCTAGTAGAGAAGAAAAACTGTGCGATTTCTCACGTACCCCTTTGTAAAACGGTCATTAGCGATAGATATTAACTAACGACTATGAAAAATGCGCCCCTTTTCCTAATTGCTCTTTTCCCTAGAAAACCCCCGAAATGACCGTCTAAAGGGATTTTAATGCACCGAACGGATTCGAATCTCAATGTCTCCATCTCTCATCTCTAAATCCATCATTAAAACTTAGACTTAAGCAAAAGTATTGGGGGATGGCGGCAAAGCATAATTAA